TTTTTTTTTTTTTGCTGAGTTTAAGAGCTATTTTTCTTGTTTTTGAGACAGGATCTTTCTATGTATTTTAGGTGTCTTTGGAATGTGATGTGTATCACCTAGACAGGCTTTCTACTTATATTCCTACCTTCACCTCCAAGTACCAGTAATGCAAGTGTTGGACTCGTGGCTTATATACCATCCTGCAGGTTGTTCTTTATGCTATTGTTTTCTGCTACTTGTAAACATCCTTGCTGCCTCATTTGTCTTTTTTGTGAAGAGTATATATTTAGTATTTTGCCTCATTTCCGCAGTTTTTCCTTAAAGTCTATTACATGTATAGGCATGTTAGTTACCATTTTTTTTAGTATCATGTCCTGTGTCTGTTGTCTTCCCTTATAGATTTCCTGTTTCGCCTTATTGAATACTGTCTTGAGACATTTTCCTCCCAGAGAAAATTTGTGCTTGCTGAACTTTTCAGACTTGCTTATCTAGAAATGTCTTTAGACTGTCCTTATCTGTGAGTGGTGATTTAGCTTGGGTCTTAATGCTGCTGTTCATTCTCCAGAGCCCTTTGGAACTTATAGTTTGGAATCACCTGGCATAACTCAATGAGGGGAGCATTTGTGTCTGGAAAGGGGCAGAGAGAAGAGGACTGGTTTCCAGGTCTGGGAAAGGTATGGGTAAAAGGAAGAAGCTGGTTTGGAAGCTCCTTCTTGATTGTTGACATACTATGAGACATGTTCTAAGAGGCCCTGAGAGTAGTCAGCTACTTTACCCATTCTCTAGTCTTAGATGAGATGCAGGCACCTGGCTTAGGCCCTAAGAGGAGCAGACCATTATGCTGGAGTCTGAGGAGGGGGAAGGTAAGCTAAAGAAGGGAATAAAGAGGGGTGCCTGACAAGCATGTGTCTAAGTCTAACCAAGGAAAGTTGACACTAGGCTATTCTAAGGTTAGACTCAGGTGTGATGACTGGCTGGGAAGAGATGTTCAATGCAGAACCCCAGGAGGACACTCAGCTGACAGTATTAGGAACTGTCACAGTACCTTTCAGGTCTATGCCATCATATTAGCCCAACACAGACAACAATTATGGGTTAATGCAGGATGTAAGAGTTAATAAGAGGTCTGAACTATTGTAGACCTCTGTGTGTTTCTTTGAGACTGATCAGCTGAGGGTCCAGGCAGGACAGAAACCTCAGTCAACATGTGAACCATTTGCAGTGCAAGCCATATGCTGTGCAGCCTTCCCGTAGATTCCACATGGACATGGTGGTTTTGTTCACACCTCACTTCAATATACTCAGTCTTGGATTTTATTTTCTCAAAAGATTCTCAACAGAGCCATGAACTTAGAATAGATGACTATCTACCATCTCTAGATAACAGATGGACACCCTGAACTGATGGGGTTTTGCTGTCATTACCTGTGTTGGTAGACCATCTCAGTAAGTATGGAGCAATGTAGATGTGTTAGTCCCAGCAGTCAGCTGATCTATTGACAGATTTTTATAACACTTGAAACCTGCAGGTGTTATATGCTAGGTTTCACTCAGGTATGGGGCATAAGACTTGTCAGGATTCTCATTCTATTGAGAGTCTATTCACATCACCCAGTGCCACCTAGATAGAGCTTTATGCCCAAGTTTATAATTACATTTTCATATTTATTAGAATATAGTTTTAATGTGTGGCAGATGGTATTGTGTAGCTTGGGTTTTGTTTTTGTTTGTTTTCATTTTAATTTTTATTAACTTGGTGTTGCTGTATTGAAGGAAAGTGTGGGTCCAGGTCAGAAGGGCAACTGTCTAAAGGATCGCCAGCAAAAGGGAGAAAAGGTAGACTGTTGCATTGTGTTGAGAGTGAGAGGGCTAGTGGGACTCCTTTGCTCACTCAGTGCTCCTGCCTTGTAGTCAGATGTTTTTGTTTTGATTTTTAAAGAGTTGCTTATATAATTTTATGTGTATATCTGAGTGTATGGATGTGTACCATGTGCATGTAGGTTCCTGAGGATACCTCAAGAGCATGTCACATCCCTGAAGCTGGAATCACCGCAGTTGTGAGTCACCTGATATTGGTGCGGTGAACTGAACCCGGGTCCTCTATAAGAGCACCAAGTGCTTTTAACAGCTAAGCAACACCTGGTGGAATTTCTTAGATGATAACCCATGACCGCAGCTGGGAACTGGTGTTTTCCCTCTTGGAAGCTCAATATTTTTTTCCTATACTTGGGACTGAATCCCAGAGCCTGGCAGTACATGCAGGTGTGAGTCAATGTTTCACACTATGGCAACAGCTCATTCTTCTGATAGCATTGCTCCTGACAGAGGAGTTTTAGCAAATGCTGCTTTCATTTGTCTTGACTTTATAAACTTTGTATTTTGATATAATGTTAGGCAAAACTAAACCCTTTTCCTTTGGCCATAAAGAACAGGAACCTGTGTCTGCAGCCTACTGGTAGTATTTGTTTTCTCTTGTTATTGCACAGAATAGGCTTGCTAGCAAGACATTCTTCAGGCATCCAGCAACACCCAGAGAAAGTATTCCTGGCCACAGGTTGGACTGTGTTGGGGCCGGGGAAGCTAGGTACATGAAGCCTCTAACTACATACTCTGCTCTTTGGTGGGCTGGAATGCATTGTGGTTGAAGAATATGCAATTGATTTGCCTGCCAGAATTCTACCTCCTTGCAGGATAATCCTTAAATTGGGTGGCATGTAGGAGAGTTGGACCGGACAAAGGTGCCAAGTGCTATGGTGGCTCAGGGACTTGGTGGCTGCCGAAGTCTCACACCGGGTCTTATGTCTTTCTACTTTCCCATTAGGTTCTTCCTAAGAGTCTGCAGTAGTAGGAAGGCATTGGACAAAAACAATTTTGAATACATCTCTCCATTGAATAGATAGGAATAGAGGAATCTCTTTTGCGTGTGTGCGTGCATGCATGCGTATCCACACATATCCCACTTCCCCCCTCCCCTTTGGTGAGACATGCTGAATCCTCAGGAGAACATATCCATGAAGACAAACAGTGTTGGCTGAGCAAGGTAATGCAGGTTGCCTTGGCCACCCATACTGTGACAGGCTGACTACTTAGGAAGCGTATCACAGAGCCTCCAGAGAGGATGCTACAGCCTGTGCTATTTTCTACCTGGCCCAGGAGCTGTACTGGCCACACGAGTCTCTTGTTTATTACCCTGTTGAGATATTTGCTATTTGACAGCTTCTCCATCTTCATTTTCAACACCGCAGGATTTCCTCGCTTGCCAGCAAGAGCTCACTGCCATTTTGCTGTACCTTCCTCACATGTCTCGACTAGTGGAATTTACCTCATGTACCAGTGAAGCCTTAGGTTAGACAGGAATGGGTACACATTGCATGTTCCTGCCTGAAGCTGCCTGCCTGGCAGGACTAGAGAAAAGTGGGTTTGGGGTTGGGGGAAGTAAACCTAGTCCTTTCCCCATGTCTGTTGTTGTCTTTATATTACCTGCTCTTAAATAGCCTAGGTTTCATAGTGAACCATGTCTAGGTCTCTGTTTACATTCCTGCCTTTATCAAGCCTCACCATGATCTTAGTGACTGGCTGGTGCAGAGTCCACGAGTTTGCCCATGTTGCTGAGTGGATTTAAGATCATGGGTAAGCTGGGTATTGAGTGTGGTGGTGCACATCTTTAATCCTTTTACTATGGAAGCTGGATTTCTATGAGTTCCAGGGTAGCCTGGTGTACAGTTTTAGGACAGCTGGCACTAAACATTGAAACCTTGTCTCAAGAAAGAAAGGAAGGAAGGAAGGAAGGAAGGAAGGAAGGAAGGAAGGAAGGAAGGAAGGAAAGAAAGGAAGGTTAAAAAAAAATTTCCTGCAGGTGAGTTTGCTGTGACAGCAAAGTTGATCCTAGCAGTACTTGACAGTAGAGATAAGAGCCATGGCTGTAGCCTCACTTGCCATAGAGGTGGGGCATTGCTCAGGTACAGCTTAGTGTGTTATGTCCACAGTCATGGGCCAGGAAATGAGAGAAAAGTGTGACAGTGATGTTATAAGGAGGCCGCTTGTTGGTTCCCAGCTGCTCAGCAGCTTAGACCCAAAATAATCACACAGAAACTATAATATTTAAAACACTGCTTGGCCTATTAGCTCTAGCTTTTTATTGGATAACTCTTACATATTAATTTAACCAATTTCCAGTAATCTATGTATTGCCACATGGCTGTGGCTTACCGGGTAAAGTTCCATCTGGCATCTGTCTCTGGTGGGGCTACATGGCTTCTCTCTGACTCCACCTTCTTCCTCCAGCATTCAATTTAGTTTACCCCACCTACCTCTATTCCCTGCGCAGGCCCAAGACAGTTTTCTGTATTAACCAATGGTATTCACAGCATACAGAGGGGAATCCCACATCACAGTGATTTTCTGGAAAGACAGAAAATAATAGTGACTTGACAGTTCTTTGCATAATGCTTACTTTGTAATTTTTCTGTAGGAAATGGTAGTTTTGTTTTTTTTTAACAGTTTGGATAATATTTTTTCATGGAGGAGAAATGTTAATGTGCGTTTTTAATTTCACATGAAATATGATGACTTCACATTAACCTGAATGATATGAAGCTCTTTGGACTCACCTTGCCCTACCCAGTGTAGTCTTTACCTCCAGTTTCCCATGACTTGATGGGAAGCCCCTTTCTTTCATCTTCTTTAACTGTTTGTTTTTCTAGATAAAAAGTTTGCTGTTATTTTGTCTGTATACGCTTATTTTTTTTTCTTTTTTGTGAAAAAAAAAATGTTGCTCAGCATTATTCAAAGACCAGGGCAGCATGTGTCTTAGTGTCAGTCTCAATTCCAGGCTCTGGAGCATGTCTAGTCATGCTTTGTGGGTCCTGGTCCAGGATGCTGGGAGATGTTTTTAGAGCTCAGGGTCTTAGACTTAGCACGGCCTTTGCTGCATGTGAAGGAGACCCATGTGCTATGCCTGGGGTGTATCAGTGTACTGAATGTCAGGGCTGAGATTCTTTCTGCCTTTTCTTGTCTAGGTGCCCTATGAGACACTGAATAAACGCTTCCGAGCTGCCCAGAAAAACATTGATCGGGAGACCAGCCACGTCACCATGGTGGTAGCTGAGCTTGAGAAGACCTTAAGTAGTTGCCCAGCTGTGGACTCTGTGGTCAGCCTACTGGATGGTGTGGTGGAGAAGCTGAGTGTCCTCAAAAGGAAGGTTTGTCCTCTGGGAATGGCTGGGAGATGAAGACATAGGCAAACTGTGGAAAGGATGTTTAGGTCTGCTAGATAGAGAACACTGAAAGTGTCCTAAGCCCCACCCATGAGGAAGCTAGGGCTTGCGACACTGATATTTCATCCCAGAACTTCCTGGAACTGTCAAAATGACCTAGCCACTGAGAATGACCTTTAAAGATTTGAGTAGCCCTTCAAAATAGTTTCCCAAAGAGGCTAGAGAACTCAGGCAACAGAAGAGAATCATCAGTCCCAGATAGGGGTCAGATGTAAGAAAAAGGCCAGGGGCTGCACCTGTCTAGGAGCACTGTCTGAGCACGAGAGGTTATATTTAAAAGTCAGACCAAACATGACACATGCTTTTAATCCCCACATTCAGGAGGCAGAACCAGAAGGATTTTTGTGAGTTTGAACGACAATCCTGGTTTACATAACAAGCTCCATACTACGAGCTAGGGCTACACAGTTGGACCCTATCTCAAAGTAATGAGTCACATTATAGTCAATAATAAGACAAGGAAAGTACAATAAATTTCAAATTTTAAGCATCTGACAATATAGCTTAAACCAAAAAAGATATGCATGCATTTTAAGCCTTTTTTTTTTTTTTAAAGGGAAATAGGGCCTCAAATGTGCTCAGCAAGTATGTGAAGTAGTGGGTAGTATGCCATGTCCCTCTTAGTAATTACTGTCTCACACAAATTCACCCCAAACAGATGTAGAGCCTGATTTCTTCTATTTCTACCATATAGTCCAACAACATCTTAGCTTTTACCTTTCCTTGCTTGTCTTCTTGCAAGTATTCAGAAGAGGTTGTAAATACGTATGTTTTCATTGCTGCTGGTGGACCAATCATCTCAAGTGTGTTTGCTGTGACTTAGGCAGTAGAGTCCATCCAAGCTGAGGATGAGAGTGCCAAGCTCTGCAAACGTAGGATTGAGCACCTCAAGGAGCACAGCAGTGACCAGCCAGCAGCAGCCAGCATGTGGAAACGGAAGCGCATGGACCGCATGATGGTGGAGCATCTCTTGCGCTGTGGCTACTACAACACAGCTGTGAAATTGGCTCGCCAGAGTGGCATCGAGGTGGGCTCTTTGAACTCTTGATCCCCTGCTTAGGAGTGAATACCATCGCATTCCCTTCTGTTTCTACCTCTTATGGTGCCCCAACAGTCACTGAAGATCACAGGATAAAATTAACTTGCTTTTAGCCAACTTGAACTTGTTGGCCTTGTGGTGCCTAAGGAGGCATGAAGGTTGGTGTTCTTGACAGGAGCTCCCTGGAGTCAGTGACATGCCCATATAGCCAGGGGAAGGTATTGCTGCTTTCTTGCCCCTGACCAGTGACCACTGTTTATAGCCACTGCCACTAGACATTGAATACCCAGCCTGTGGATGGCCACCAGAGTATATCACTGAACCCATAGGTGGTCACATGTTTTTTTCTTGTTACTTTTCTTGTAAGCCATTATTATTTTAAATTTTTTATTAAATTTATCATACATGTTATGACATGTGTAGAAGTTAGAGGACAACTTTTGGAAGTCAGTTTTCTCTCTGCCATGTGAGTCCTTGGATTGAACTTGGGTTGTCAGGCTTGGTGGCAAGCATCTTTTTCCAACTGTGCTATTTCACATCATCCAGACCATTAGTTTTAATTGCATTGGTATTAGCTCTAGTCTGCTTCTTACAATAGTTTATCTTGAAATAGGAATAGTAGGAGTCTTATTACGATTTCTTTTACTTTAAAGGCTGTGTTGTGTCTGCACCATGTTCAGCAGCAAGTTCCACGTGCTCTGCTCAGCCATGTCTCTGGAAGGAGCTTCCCATAATTTCCACTTTCTCCCGTCTCTGGTCATTTCCTGTATGCGTAGTGTCCAGTGCTTAGGATATGATGCTAACTGGGATCGTTGTCATGGGGTTTGTCAGAAGAAACATGCAGTCCCTGTGATTCTGGCCAGAGCATACATACTACACGTGACTCAGCTAGGAATCAGCAGTTCTGTGCTGTTACTCTACTTGTTATCAATATGTTTTGTTGGAATATAGCCCAGAAATTGTGTTTTCAGGCTGGTGAGACGGCTCAGCAAGTAAAGGCACACTTGTTGTCAAAAGTGCTTTTTACCCTGTGAACTGCATAGTGGGAAGAGAGAACTAGCTAGCTCCTGCAAGTCATTTTCCGACCTCCATATATCTGCCCACTGGTATACAAATCAGTGTGATTTTTAAAATTTCCATTTTCTTCAGGTAGCTTCCCTGCTTTTCTCATAATGTACGTACATCTCATTGTCCCAGCCACTCAATTGCTAATCTTGCTAATCTTGTTGGACACTTTAATGAAGAGCGACCCTTACCTTGTACGAGCCCTCCAGACTCAGCAGATTTTCTGTCTTTGGCACTTCTTTAAAGAGCATAGGGACTGGGGAGAGTATTATATCACACACACACACACACACAAACACACACACACACTGTGGAGGCATTGTGCCCTATGCTGAGGGCTTGAAGAAGGTTGTACACTGGTTTGTGGTTTGTTTGGGGTATAACTTTTGTTGCTGTACCAAAATGCCTGACAAACGTAACTTAAGAAAGGTTTAATTTGAGAGTTACAGGAGATAGTCCATCATGCCAGAGAAGGCATGGCAACAGAAGCAGGAGGCAGCTGTTTATGTGTGTACATAGTTAGGAAGTAGAGATGATTACCAGTACTCAGTTTGCATTCTCTGTTTTCAGACTTGATACTTGTGGCCCCTGGAATAGTACAACCCACATTTACCATGAATCTTCCTACCTTTAAAATTTACCTAAGCTAGGTGGTCCCTTACAAATACGCTGAGATTAATTTCCATGGTGATTCTAAATCTCATCAAATTGACAAGGTTAACCACAGAGTGCCTGTACCCTGTGCTGTCTATAACAGTCTGGTTATGATCCTTGTTGATCTTTCTTTATTACAACAGGATGGGTCTGGTTCCCCTAACCAGTAGGCATCTGCCACATGTAAGCTTCCCAGTCATCACGGACCATTTCTGCTCCTGGAATCTATTCCCTGGGTACTATCAATGAGCAGTGCCCCAGACAGGTTGAACCGGAGGCAGGGGTACAGTAGGGCCAAGCCAAAATTCTGGTTGGGAGGCTGGGGTGAAGAGGGTAGAAATCAGTTGCCCCTGCTTTAAGGCCACAGGCATGTTGTGACCTGAGCTGCCCCTTCCTCTAAGGACCTTGTGAATATCGAGATGTTCCTGACAGCCAAAGAAGTAGAAGAATCCTTGGAGAGGCGTGAGACAGCCACCTGCCTTGCTTGGTGCCATGATAACAAGTCCCGACTCCGGAAGATGAAGGTATGTGGGCTTTCCCAGTTGGACTTCTGGTAAGGATGGGTCTCTTTTGAAGGAGAGGCCAAAGTTGAGTAACTGTGCCTCCTCTCCAGGACCATCATGCCCTCACCTGCTTGCAACCTTTTGGTTTGGTGATGGTTTGTAAGATTGAGTTGTTGGATATAAGGTGGGGTTCAAGGTGTTTGGGTGTTGGTGCTTTACCTTTAGGTAAAAACCCTGCCTCTTGTGTTGGTTTGGTTCATGCCCACTGCACTTATGAGTTGAGGCAGCTGTGGGTTCCCCACTTAGTCAGATAGGGGTTACACAACTCTGGGGTGTGATGTTCTACTGAATATACACTTTGTACTTTTAAAACATTCTTTCAAAGTGAAACACAGACCACAGACCTTAAATCTGCTCACTGAAAATTATCGTCTTAGGGCTTTGTAGCAGAAATGTGTTAGTTTTCATTAGTAGCCCCTGCTTCCACCAGAGGAGCTGTATTCTAGACTGCTGCTTTAATCCATCGGGTTGAGTTTGTTGGGGTCATGTAGTAACCAGCCAAGAGTGACACTCTGCCACTCAGGACTGCCAAAGTGAGCATGAGATGAAGATGGAACAAAAGAGTGGAACCACCGGTGAGGATCTTGGTACAGAAACCCCCAAAAGGAAAGCCAGAATGGTTCGTTACATAATAGTCTGACCTACTCAGTTTTCACCTTCACTCCCTCCCACAGAAAACACTGGGCTTTTATCTTTCATGAAGTGATCTCACAAGCTTTGACCTCTCTAGGCAGTGTGTCTACAAACTTGTTGAATTTACTATGTGGACCAGGGGTGGACACTCTGGGTAGGCAAAGCCTGAGAAATTGAGGTGCTGATTGAGCGCTGAACTGGTAAGCATTACCTTAGTGCCTAAGCAGTGAGATAGAAGGGAATGTTAGGGGTGTCCATAAACACACTGTGAAGGTGCCTAGTGATAGGGTTGCCCATCACATCACATAATCTGTATAATTCGAATGAGCACATGAACACATGCTCTCTCCTCCTATCGGAGAAATAGTAGAGGAGCCACACTGCACTGAAGTCCCACAAATCAGACACACTGATCTAGATGGGAAAAGAAACATCTCAGATGCAGTTTCACTAAATTAGAAATACAACAGGGCACCAAGATAAGATCTGTAAATTAGCTTTGGTCTCTAGACTAGACAGGACACTGAAAGAACAACCTGGAAGCCTTTTGTCTAGAAGTCATACAGAATGGTAAATTCAGAGTCTCCAGCTGCTGTAGAGTGAACAGGGTGGCCCGTCATTTCACTATATGATTTGGTAGATACATGTTTTGGATTTAGGTCTGGAGGCTTAATTTGCATGACAAACTGGCACTCTGTATATTGGTAAGGTATTTGGAAGTTAACTGTTAGGGAATATTGCTCCTAAAAAATAAAGGCAGATTTAAGGTACATGCTTTATGAAACAAAACTTTCCACTGAGCTGTGGTGGTGGTGCACACCTTTGATCCTAGCACTCAGGAGGCAGAGGCAGGTGGATCTCTGAATTGGAATTCAGGGCCAGCCTAGTCTACAAAGGGAGTCTGCAAAGCTGTCTACAGGACAGCCAGAATGTTACATGGAGAAACGCTGTCAGGGTTGGGAGGAGGGATACTGCTTTTCCTTTAATACCTGTACAGTGGTCTCATCCTGCTGTTAAACATCCTCCTGGTGCCCACCAACTATAGGAGGAACAGTGTTACTCTGCAACTTAATGGGGCTCTAATGTGCAGGTTCACCTTTCAGTCCTGCTTTGTTTCCTGGTTTTAAAGGGAGCAGAGCACTCACATGTATCTCTTCGTCAGTGGGGCCAGGCTGCTCCTAGGGAGCCTTGGGTACCCTGTCTTTTCCTGATAAGCCTGCCACCCACCACTCAGTCAGGACAGCACCTGCTCTGGCTTGAAATGTACTGTTTCCAGCCTGCTTGACCCTCAGCCTGGGCACGGGAGGGCCCCAGTGCAGGGATCAGAGGAGTGGATATCTGTCATCTTCCTGCACAGAATTGTCAAGCTATGGTTACACTGTGTTGGTGGAATAGAGTCAAAGCAGCTGGAGATGGAGTATGCTTTGCTGAAGTTACATTGAAATGGGCCATGGGGATTGGGTACATAGAGGAGGCTAGGTGGGAAAGGATGTGGCACTGGAGAATTTGAGTTAAGTCTTAGATGTTCAGGAATGATTTACTTGCCATGTGAAGTCTGTGCTGTTGTAATACGGATTCTCTGAAATCGGTGACCTATGATGAATAGTCTTAGACTAGTTTTTCATATCCTCATTACTGTTTTCTGTTAGGAAATGCTTTATGTGTCCTGTAGCTATGCTGAAGGTTTTGAGTATCTTTTAGGAGAACGTTGCCTCAGGCTAACCTCAAATTTACTGAGGCCTCAGCCTCCTAGGTGCTGGTTTTACAGGTGGCTCTGTACATGCTGGGCAAGTGTTCCACTGTCCGGTGCTCATTGCCTGGGGATCTTTAGATTATTACTTACAAAGAAAGGTGCTTTCTGTGTAAGGTGGTTAATATTCCTACTAGCTAGCCTCCAGTCACAGGAACTTCTGCCTGCATTGGATTGTAGTGCTGGTTTTAGAGTCAGCTTTGAGCTTCTATGTAGATGGCATCTCCCAGCATACCCTGTACTGTCCCCAAGAGCCATTGTGGTGCTGATCTCAGATCTTCCTTACAACTGCAAATCTTAAAGCTTCTGCATTTATGGATGCATCCATTCTCTGGTCTCCTGATCCCCCCAGCCTGGACCTTTGAGTCTTGACAGGAACATTAGCTTCCTTGGGCTTATTGCTCCAGGTATTTTTTTCCTTCTCTCCTATGGCCTTTGTACTATCCCCGTTTCTGCCTGGAACCCTGCTGGTCATCTTTTCAGCCTTCCATCTTTTGTTGTTGTCTTTGTGTTCCGTGTCAGCACCTTTGAGGTTCCACCTTCTTGCTACCTCATACCCACTTGGCACTGTCCCCTTCTACCAGATATCAGTCTTAGATAAAACAACTTGTGGACATTTTTACAGAGCAACCACCAGCTCAGGCAGCATGGCTTACAGTACAGACAAGAAATGTGCTGAGTTGAAGCCTGGTGGAGGTGGTAGAGAGGAAACTTTTTAAGACAAGGTCTCTTTACATAGCTCTGGCTGTCCTGAGCTACTCACTATGTAGACCAGGTGGTCTTTAATTCACAGGGATCTGCCTATCTCTGCCTCCTGAGTGCTGGGATTAAAGGTGTGCACCAGCATGCCCAGCTAGAGGAAATATAGAGGAAGAATTGCTTTATGGTATTCATAGACACTAGGATCTTGACTGTAGGGGACCTGGAAAACTCTCCAGGGAGTTGGCAGGATTTCCTCATACAGTCACTTAACTTTACCCCATGTACTCTGGGAGCTAAAACAATCCCTGTCTGTTGCCCATACAGATGCCACATGACTGCCTTCGGGTATTGAACTCATCATCTGCATAATGCATTAGTCCTACTGGAAGAGGACTGTTGTCCATTAGAATAGAGACTCTGGCCATAGCATTGCTTCTCAGTGCCCATGGGAGGCCCTGAGTTTTGATGATAGAATCTGTGGGACCTATGGATCCTGGTGCCCGGGCACCTAGGCCATCTCACTGCTGACAGGTGACACCTAACCCTGTCTGTCTTTGCCCTCAGAGCTGCCTGGAGTTCAGCCTCAGGATTCAGGAGTTCATTGAACTTGTTCGGCAGAACAAACGCCTGGATGCTGTGAGGTAAGAGGCCATACACAAGGTTCTATTCATTAGGACAGGACACTCGGTTGCTGTTGCTCTTTCCCTGTCCTCTTAGTCAGAGTGCTGGAGAAGGAAACACATGTTGGGGCACTTCTCATCTGATGGCTTCAGTCCTACATGCCAACTACATTTTTGGCATGTAGTTCTAAGCCAGGGATTGAAGTCCCCTGCTCCACAGACAATTTCATGTAGCAGTTCAGATCCTCATAGTTGTCAAGTAAGCTAGATTGGCGTCCCAACCACCCATGTAAACCTGTGATCAAGGCTCTGGGGCCCATCTTCTCCACCTGGGACATAATCATGAACTTTAAGTAACAGGTTTGCCTCAAGGGGCTGTTCCTTGGTCAGTTCACACTTCCTTGGTCTGGTGTTTTCTTCGTGGCCATCTTAAAGCATGCTTGCATCAGGAAGTATACCTTAGGGCTTTCTACAGACGTAGCTGAGCTTCCAGGGTCTATCTCTGCCCTAAGAGGACATGTGCTTCTACTTGGGAGGTCCCTAGTGGCTCTCTAGGAGTCCAGCATAAGACTCGCCCTTTTTTGCCTGGAGTGTTACGAAGAGTACCATGTGCCAGTTTCTACTCCTTTCCTTGAACCACTTGCTTTCAGTAAGCTTTGTAAAGCCTTCCTGGTGCCTACCAGGCGTCTGGTCAGTGCCTGTAGCTGGGGTTTTCCAATTCTAGCTTTGCCAAGGCTCCTGCCCAGTTAGTCCTGGAGTGTGAGCAGGGAGGAACACTGAAACAGTGAAAACGTGGCCTGCTGCTCCCGAGACATGTTCTGAGCTGGTGGCATATCCCAGTATAGGCACTGAAGGAATATATCTTCCAGAAGGTGTCTGTCTGTGATGAAACGTTGAGACTCAGCAGTGACATGTTCCACCAGAGAAGCCTGGGTTGGGAGCAGAGTCCTGTTGGTCCAGCCCAGACTTAGCTTTTAGTGAACCCAGGACTGCTATTCCTTGGGAGCTTGGGAAGGTGAAGGTAGGTATGGTAGAGCTGGCTGTGGACCTTACTAGCTGCTGTCACTTCACCTTAACTCATACATTGTAAAGGGAAAACATGAGATGCCTACATGTGTGTATGCCCTCCATTGATTGGCAGGGATTAGAAAAATAAGATAAAAAAGAACACAGATATAGCATCAGGAGGGAGTTCCGGTGAATGCTGAAAAATCGCCTGCTTTTAATTCCCATTTCTTAAATATCCTAACTCCAAAAGGAAGGAGTAAGATAGAAAAACAAAACAAAACAAAAAAACCTGCATTAACAAGAGACAAGGAATGAACAGATCAGTTGAAGGACTGCAAGCTGCATTCTTAGTTAAACGTTCTGTTGGCCAAAACAGGACAAGTTAACGCTCACACCCAAGACCACAACATTCTGTAGGTATACCACTCCGTGTGTGTAATCCATTATTATTTCCCAAAGGGAATAGGAATCTAGTTGGATCCTTAGACTTTTGTTTGAAGTAGAAACAGATCTACTTTTTAAAACCTGAAATACTAGGTCTGGCTATTAGCCACACCTGTTTTCTAAACTGTTAACAATAACCAACTCTCTGACCTTTAGTCAAAGCAGAATGGACCTGTCAGTTGGTTCCCTTCTTTCTAGCCTGTGAGCTGTAGACAAGTACTCTACCATTAAGTTAATTTCTCCTCTTCTCATTTCTAAGAGCCCTGGTCATGCCAGGAGTGGTGGTATATGCTTCCAATCCTAGTACTTAGAAGGCAGAGGCAAGTGGATCCCTGTGAATTTGGGGACAGCCTGGTCTACATAACAAGTTCTAGGCTAGCCAAGGCTACATATAGTAAGACCCTATCTCAAAAAAAAAAGCACATTTTGCTGCCTAGTCCTCAACTTCCTGAGCAACCTGGAGTTTTGGGAGGGGCACTGTGCCTGGTGCCTGAGACTTGAGGCTTGACCTGTGTCAACTACAATGTTACAGGGATTGTCACTCTCCTCAGACTGGGGGCTGGCTGGTTGGTTCAGGTGTGTCAGTCTCTGGGTATCTCACATTTATGTTTGCAAAGAAAAATTTGGTGTTGCTGTACGCCAGTTGCCAGTTTTACCACTGTGATGTATTCTTGAGGCAAACAACTTCAAAGGTGGAAAGGTGACTTGATTCTAGGGGTTCTGCTGTGTCACTGGCCACTGGTTAAAGGGACTGGTTCTGCAGGAGGGACTCAAGGTATAGAGGCTATGACAGTGAGTGAGGCCTTGTGGGAAGATATGAAGATTTACGTCTTAAGGGCTAGTGGCCAGCGGAGGAAAGTTCCATACTCCTCCTGGCTGCCCAGCCCTTCCAGGTATATTTTGGCCCAGTCCTAAGACAGCCATGTGTATCACATGTGAAAGCCCACAGTGTGTGTTTGCTTGTACATGATGGGCTAGACAAGCCTTGGAGTCCATCTGTGGGCCCCAGTTGCTCCAAACAACTTAGAATTAAAGATGTTGGACTCAAGTCCCTGAGCCTGAGGTAAGCACTCAGGGCAAATGGAACTACTTGAAGGCTCAGGCAATAATTCTAGCACTAATTGAACCCATTTTCTGATATCTTGACCCCTCAGGCCCTGCCCAGCACATCTTCTGGGATGGGATTCCTTTATGCCAGATTATGAAGGACCTGCTAGTCTAGATCCTTTCAGTTGGAGTTCTGGGGCTCAGAGAGTTGGCTTAGCAGGTAAAGGAAGGCACTTGCCTCTCAGCCTGGCAACCTTAGTGTAACCTCTGAGATCCACATGGTAGAAGGAAATACCTAGCTCTCACAAGTCGTCTTTTAACCTCTGAGTTGATTGTCTAAGTGATTAATTATTGAAAATCTGGGAATACAAACTTAAATGTGCCGAAATGTTGTTTTTCAGACATGCAAGAAAGCACTTCAGTCAGGCTGAAGGGAGCCAGCTGGATGAGGTTCGCCAGGTCATGGGCATGTTGGCCTTCCCTCCAGATACACACATCTCCCCATATAAGGTAATGTTCATGACCCTGGCATCTAGGTTTCTACTGGTCCTTGGAGTCAGGGGTCCACTGGGATGGATTAGAGGATGCTAGCCAGCTCCTGAGGGCCCATCCATTGTCCCTTCTTCACACCTCATAGCTTGTCCTACCCAGCTGTGCTTTTCTTGCTTTATTCCCATACAGCCGATGCAAAGTTTGGGGCAAAGGTGAGGAGGTTTCAACCTGGCAGCTCTGGGGTCTTCACTCCCTGCCACACCTCCTTGGTGCTCTCTTCCTGTAGTCTTTTGCCATATCCACAGCCTGTCTCCTGCTCTGCTCTCCCTCGCCTCCTTGCTGTTTTTGTAAGGCCAGAGTTCTGGGTCTAAAGGACATTAGAGTCTGGTCATGGTGGTGTTCTTGCCCTTCCTGGGCTGTGCCTGGTCTTTTCCCTTGGTGCAGACCTCTTGTTTTCAACCCCCTGTTCTCTAGCCTGTGGTGAGGGAGGTCTGGGAGAGGATCATGTTCCATTGCTCAGACAGCTTTGTACAGACTTCAGCCCACGTCAGGGTATCTGTGCCTAGCCCTGAGTGAGCAGCCTGTTTACCTCTTTTGAGTATAGCCGCACCAAGCCAAGAGCTCTGAAGGCATTAGGTACAGGCTTGGCTCATACTTTGAGACTGGCCTTTGTCAGAGGCTTTTGTGTCTGCCCTGCAGCCTCACCCACAGTGCCAGCATGCCTGAGTAGACCAGTTGGTGCCGTTTTGAAGCTCTGAGCCCTAGTAAACCCACCCAGCTTTGAGGAATGGAGCATCATGTCCTGAAATGCCATCAGACCAGAGTGTCAGGAATGTCTAAACTCATTTTTTAAACTGATGTTGTAAATTTCTCTTCACTGCATTGGAGGAGGTTTGGTTTGGGCCTGAGGCATCTGAGTTAGAAGATGAACCATCTCTCTGATGCAAGACCTCATAGTACAGGGAGGGATGGAACATACCTGCTGTCCCACCAATGTGCACAAGGGAGAAAGCCTCCTCATGGGGTAACAAGAATAGCTTATCAAGTCCTGTCAGTGACAGAAATTTAGTGACCTGAAAGAGAAAGACCAAGATCATACTGAAAACCTTTGTCTTGAGGGCAGTCAGACATTTAAGGGTACAGCAAGCTATAAAAAGAACTGAAAGAATGGCTTTTATAAATTAAGGAGGAAAAAAACCAGGGCACTAGTGAGGAAGGCAGGGAGGAAGCTTCCTTCAGAGGAAAGTGGTGGTCTGGCCCGATACCATCCCTTCTATGAAAGCGTCCCAGACTGGGCATACTCCTCTGTAGACTGCTTTTATGGAATAATACTGAAAGCCATGTTTCTATAAAAAAGGTGGAAGGGAAGTGTGTGGTGTCCCTGGTGACAGTGAGGCTTCACCTCTTTTGCTCTTGTGCATGTGCATTCCTTATGTGTGTCTAAGACACACGCATTAACCAGACGTAGTTCTGACCTGAGCATTTCTTCTCTGGAGTGACCCCCCTTTCAGTTTTATTCTGTGATTCTGTTTATAGTTGCAAGACCACAGGATACACACCAGGGAGTATTCTGGAATATTAACCCAGCCAGGGGCCTTGCAATGGCTACTGGAGCATCTGTATTGTCTGGGCCTCCCAGTAACTGCCAAGGAGGGTCCCAGCATTTCCATGTTGTTTTTCAGGACCTTCTGGACCCAGCCCGGTGGCGGATGCTGATCCAGCAGTTTCGATATGACAACTACCGACTGCACCAGCTAGGAAACAGCTCCGTCTTCACCCTCACCCTGCAGGCTGGGCTCTCGGCAATAAAGACACCGTATCCTTTTTGCTCCACCTTGTCCTTTGGGGTAAAGGTTGATAGGGCATAGGACCCGCAGCTTGGTCTTTTCTTGGTCTATCTACTCTTGGTGGCTTTTGCATCTCAAATGTTGCCATGCACCTGATACTGACTTCCCAAGAGTCCTTAAGACCTGAGCCCTGGTTGTCTAGCCAGCTTGATTCATAGTGGTCATGGCTCTGGCAAGTTAGTCTCCCTTCTTAAGAAGGACAAGAAAGGCTGATCCCTTCTTGCTTATATCTGACATACTAAACCCTTGTATGGCTCCCTCTTGTGTGGCTGACCTATTCCTTCCTGTGATGGACCATCCCCTATGGTAGATGTAGATTCTTGTCCTTTGTGTGGCTGACCTTCCCACATGTGTTTGACCCTCATCTCTTGTGGGTCTGTCCCTGCCCCCTCAGGTGAGTTGCTTACTTACATGTGGATGACTTGTATCTGTTGTATGGCTAAACCCTACCTCTCTGGCTGAACCTGTCCCTTATATGCCTAACCTGATTGCTACATGTAGCCAACCCCATTCTGTGTATGACTGGCTGTCCCACAAAGTAGTGGCTGTTCTGGGGTCACAGCTGGTGTGTGTTGTGTTATGCTCCAAGCTGAGGCTCAAGGCCCATCCTTCTCACCATCTCTGGTGGACACTGGAGAACAAGCATGTGTTTGCCTGACATCTCCTGACAGTCACCAGAATATCCTGTCTCACACTTGGGTGAGGTGCCAGCAAAGGTGCATGGTACCATTGCTTGGCCATGCTAGTGGCTTGTCTTAAGTCAGGTGTTGGTAACCATTGTTATTGAATAGTATAGCATTTTTTCACCTTGAGCCTTCTTTGTTTTCTGCATGGTGTCCCTATGACCATAAGGATGCCCTGTGTGTAGACAGTAGTGGTCACAACATGCCTGCCTTTCCTTAACCGTGTGTACAGACAGTGCTACAAGGAGGATGGCAGCTCCAAGAGCCCCGACTGCCCTGTGTGCAGCCGCTCTCTGAACAAATTGGCGCAGCCCCTGCCCATGGCTCACTGTGCCAACTCCCGCCTGGTCTGCAAGATCTCTGGTGACGTGATGAATGAGAACAACCCACCCATGATGCTGCCTAATGGCTATGTCTATGGCTACAATGTGAGGGGCCCGGATGAGGAGGGCTGCAGGCTAGGTTGGGCTGGGCAAGGCAGCTGTGTGGAGGATAAGGGGGAACCAGGGTTGGGGTAACATTACATTTGAACAACTTCAGGTTTCTTTGACAGGTGTGCATTCAAGTGACTTTGTAACATTAGGTGGCTTGAAGCTGAAGAGATAGCTCAGTAGTTAAGAGCATGTGTTATTCTCGTAGAGAACCCAGGTTTGGTTCCAAACATCTGCATGGTAACTCACAGCTATCCATAACAAGTTCCACAGGATCTGACAACCTTTGCTGACTTTCAGAAGCATCAGGCACACATGTATACATACATACAGGCAAAATACTTATAAAAGTTAAAAACTATAAAATTAGCTGATTAATCTATGGTAGCTTATTTTGGGGGATGGGCCCTAATTCAGATCTTTTTTTGTGCTGGATTTTCTCATTTTAATGCCTAACTCTGGTCTTGTTTTTTCAGTCTCTGCTTTCTATCCGTCAAGATGATAAAGTTGTTTGCCCAAGAACCAAAGAAGTCTTCCACTTCTCCCAAGCTGAGAAAGTATACATCATGTAGGCCTTGCGTTGCCACGTGCACGCTTTTGGCCAGAGGCTGTGGTGGGTGGGAGCCATACCCTCCTACCCTGACCCATAACCCCGACCCCAGCCTGCCTCGGCATTTGTTTCTTGCGACCAAAGATCAGTGAGCAACGACAAATACTCTTAGGAAAAGAGGAAGTGAGATTTAATAAGTCTGTGCTTGAGAACAGCGTTTGATTGGTAGGATTTTGTAACATAAGTCGACTGATGCCTCTGCAAGTTCTTGCACCTCTCAGAGGAAACGTTCTCTACAGTGTGACCTGAACACCAAGGAAGTCCAGAGCATCTCAGAAGTAGGAATTGGTTCATCGGTTATTTCCCTGTGTTTCTCCATTTCCTTCCTTCCTTTTGCTAGTGATGGGACTCAGGGGAGCTTGAGGAACAGGCTGGTCCTTTGCCAACTTTTGTTGGCCACAGCCTGGGCAAGGTGTTGGCCACACCAGGTTGGCTGCAGTGACTTGTGACGTGGTGCCAAGGCCTTTCCTGACTTCACTGTCTAGCTGCTGCCAAAGCACCGTACACACCTGGGCTGCTACTTGAGGAGGCTCCGCCTACATGGCCAGGGTGTCTGGGGCTGTGTCTGTGTACAGGTTCAGTATCTCACCTCCAGCACCGCCTTATCTCCTGCTTTGAGAATGTATTCACGGGAAAGCCACTGGACCGAGTTTCTGCAGAGGCCTTGCCAGGTGGTTCCGTAGTCCTAGAGTGTAAATGCTTTTCATTACAGAAACTGATAGTTGAGCTAAAGTAAGTACTGACGGGTTTTCAAAACAGATGAACCATTGTAATTCACACAAAACCATATTGTAGAGGTTTGTATCTAGCGCTTATTTTTGCATGTTGATGTTGATTAGCTAATTAACTGTAAATGTAAAGCGTGTTAATAAAATAGCTTTCTATTTCTCATTTTTTGTGTGAGGTATTTCTAAGACCTCCGGTCTCTTCCGCTCACCCTGCCAACCAGTAGGCTATACAGTACCTATATGGGACCTGGGTTTGCCCTATCACTACAGTAAAGGGACTTGGCACACTGCTGGTCTACTATATATATACAACTGAGCCTGCTAACCTCCAAGGGGCTCTTCTGAGGAATGAGGGCATAAATATTAAGAGGCCTAAGGTAACAGCTGGCTCCTGCCGGCCTAGCCAGCGCCCACCTGGAGCTGGAGCATTGCAGGTTTTCTGAAGAACCAAAGTGGATCTTGATAGCAATTCTTTTTTTTTTTTTTTTTTTTTTTTGGTTTTTCGAGACAGGGTTTCTCTGTGGTTTTGGAGCCTGTCCTGGAACTAGCTCTTGTAGACCAGGCTGGTCTCGAACTCACAGAGATCCGCCTGCCTCTGCCTCCCGAGTGCTGGGATTAAAGGCGTGCGCCACCACCGCCCGGCCTTGATAGCAATTCTTGTTGTGTCTGTTCCTGGGATCTTAGGAGCCACTGCTGGGGCAAGGGTTCAAGTTGTAGACAACAGCAAGCAGGGGTCCTGAGTGTTTTCTTCACTTCCCTATAGTCAGGACATTGTATACACTTTTTCACTTCCCTCCATTCTGACTCTCCCTGCATGGCAGCTACATTGACCACAAACACATGTACCTCAGTTCAAACGGTGGTAGGAGTAGGCTTTGCCTGTGGTACCTACTGCTTTCCAATGCTCTCAGGAGCTACTCTGTTTGGGGGTCTCTCTGACCCAGCACCAGTTGACACCTCTATACTGGAGCCACAGCCTGTCTGGGCCTTCCACTTCTACCCATGGCACCAGTGACAGGTGGCAACAGAATGATGTCAGCACTTTTTTTCTGTCCTTTCCTGCAAGGTAGCTGTCCTTTGGGTCAGTATGGCCATTGTCATCCCTGCATATGGCCTTCCTGCAATTAAACATGTTAACATTCTTTTGGGGAAAGGGGGAAGGTTCCAGAGGCTTTTCCCCTCGCAAAGATTGTACAGGGTAAACAGATATGGGAGTAAGGGTGTTATTGCTGCTTTTAAGTTACATGGGGAATTTCTTGGTCCATGTTCTGGAAGTAATCCAAATAAACACATTGGTTCACCAAGCTGGACTTAATGGCATTCAGTCTCTGGTCTGCTTGCTGGTGCCTTGGCTTTCTTGGTGTGGTATAAGTCCTGCTGTATGGCAGCTGTAGGATTCCTGCCTTGGGTGATAAGATAGCTCAAGCTGAGCTATCTGCCTTGAGGGAGGGATGACACATGGGAAGGACATGCATGCTAGCCTCTGATTAGGGCGGGAATAGATAGTAGGACTAAATAAAGATGGTGACTTCCAAGGTTTGTGTCTTGGTTGCTTTTACTGCTATAAGACATGGAGGCAGCCTATAGAAAAAAAGTGTTTAATTTGAGGACTCGGCTCCAGAGCATTAGAGTCCATGACCATCATGGTGGAAAGCATGGCAGCAGGCAGCTGTGCAGGACAGCCACGAGGCAGAGAGATAACTAACTAAACCCACCCCCAGTGACACCTCTTCCAAAAAGGCCACTCCTGATCCATCCTGAACAGTTCCAAGTGGAGACCAAGCATTCAAATGAGGGCCATTCTCATTTAAACCGCCGCAGTTTTATAAGTGTATGGGTGTGTGTGCACAGGCCTGGAAGCTAGAGAATAACTTTGGGTATCGCTCCTCCAGTGCATTCCCACTGCTGTGGAAGTAGGAGCTCTCACAAAATGGAAATCTCCGCTGCACCCTTAACGTGATGGTCAATGTTGCCTGCAGGTGACCTCCTTACATGGTGACCCGAGGCCCCATGTTGCTTGGACCCTACTAATAAGCAAAACTGGGGCCTTAGTGGATACTGGGACCAAGTGCAGTCCCAGTTAGTTTATGGCAATACCTAAAAGCAGCAGGAACAAACATCAGCAGCAGATGGGCACAGAGGTAAAGCAGCACTCCAAAAAGACTAAGCTTACCCACTCTTGTATATTCCTCCCCTCTAAGAAAACAACATGGGACTGGAGAGATGGCTCAGCAGTTAAGAGCACTGACTGCTTTTCCAGAGGATCTGGGTTCAATTCCCAGCAACCACATGCCAGCTCACAACTGTCTGTAACTCCAGCTCCAGGGCATCTGAAACCCTCAGGCCAATGTACATAAAATTAAATAAAAAGAAAATCTGGCATTGGGGGCTGAAGAGATGACTCAGTGCTTAAGAGCACTTGTTACACCAGCACTTGGGGGCAGAGGCAGGCGGATCTCTGTGAGTTCAAGGCCAGCCTGGTCTACAAGGGCTAGTTCCAGGAAAGCTAGGGCTGTTATACAGAGAAACCCTATTTTGAAAAACAAAAAAGCAAACAAAGCACTTGTTGCTCTTGCAGAGCATCCAGGTTTGGTTCCCATCACCCACATGGTATCTTACAAACGTCTGTGCCTCCAGTTCCAGGGAATCCAATGCCTTCTAATGTAGGGCATCAGGTCACACATGGCGCACATACATGCATGTAACAAAATATTAAAAAATTAAAAACAAAAGAGGAAGGGTAAAACAGCTGGAGTGCACCTTGCACACAACCATTGGAGAATTAAGTATTTGAGTAAATTGGAGCCTATAAATAGATGATAGGTTACTGTGCCATCTCCAGACAAATTATGTGTATAGCGTTTGCTTGTTTGGCTATGCAGGTGTATGTGTACCACAGGGGCCAGGAAAGGGGATCAGATACCTTGAAGCTGGAGTTACACCTGTGAGCCACGATTCCCATGTAGGTGTTAGGTTGAAACTGAACCCAGGTTTTCTGCAAGAGAAGCAAGTGCCCTTAATTGCTGAGCCACCTCTCCAGCCTCCTCCCTCCCCCGTGCCCTTTGAACATGGAAGTGTGGTTGAGGAGGCTAGGAGAATAATGGAGGGATAGATTTCAGAACGGTGCCTCCAGTCCAGGCTGCTGTACCCAATAATTTGACAGAAAAACTGATGCCAAGTGGTGGTTTTGTTTGCTTGTTTGTTTTGGGTTGGTTTTATTTTTATTTTTTCCCCGAGATGGGGTTTCTTGATGTAGTTTTGGAACCTGTCCTGGAACTCGCTCTGTAGACCAGGTTGGCCTCCAATTTACAGAGATCCATCTGCCTCTGCCTCAGCCTCCTAAGTGCTGGGATTAAAGGTGTGTGTTTTTTTGTTTTAGACCTTGCTGACTTGTTTACTTTCCTCATAGTTGCTGAGTCCCAAGAGCAATTCTCCCTTATTTTGAGTGGAAGGCAGTGAAGCTTCAGAGCTCCTGCCAAACCTTTGTATAAAGGTCCCATTATTTAATGCTAGCCTCTGAGTGTTGAATGAAAATCTCAGTGCTGGGGTAAGCAACCTCTGTGTGTTGTTGGCCTGAGGACCAAAAAAGCCCCTCATCCAGGCTCTTGCCGTTGTTGTTGCTGTTGGACAGTCTCCCTAAATAGCTCTGGCTGTCGTGGAGCTTACTATACAGACCAATCTGGCCTTGAATTTAAAAAGATCCACCTGCATTTGCCTGCTGAATGTAAGAATTAAAGTCGAGTCCTGGGATTAAAGGCATGTGCCAGCAGGCCTGTCTGACACGTCACTCTCCTGCTAGATTTAAGGCTGCTGTTTGCTACCTGTTTCCTATTTGTCTCCTCTGTTCATTGTTCTGTCTCATTTTCACCCGTATCCATTTTACTTTAAATTGATCCCATTTTATCTCTGCAGTGATGTGCCGTTTTGTGTGTGGGATCAAATCTAGGGCCCCAGATATGCTGGGTCAGTGCTCTGTCAGTAAGCCACACTCCCAGCCTTGTGCACTAATTCACTGTTACTTCAAGGTTCATTTGATGGCAGTGGCATATTCTGAGAAATGGATATTAGGCAGTTACATTGTTTTGTGATAATAGCATACTTAAACAAAAGTCTATGTCATTAGGTGTTGTATCGGACTGGCATTTGTTTATCAGAATGTACCTCCAAGTAGTATACCAATTTATGTAAGAACACAACTCTTGGACTATATACCACCATTTTCTCCTCGTCACTTGAGTAACTGTGGTCATATTTTTTCCTGAATATTAAACTTCATAGTCTATTGAACTGTGGCTTATAAAAGGAATTTGAAACGATTTCATCAGCTTTATCATTTACAGTTAGTTCTTCAGTTACTCGACATCTGCATCTAGAATCATTTCCTTCTCTGAAGGGACTCCCGCTGGCATGCTGGCATGCAACAGCTTGCTCCTGTTTGGAGGAAGCTCAGCTTTGGAAGGATGCTTTGCTGCACATGTGTACACGTCTGGCTCGACTTTTCTTTTACTGCCCTAAAAGACATTCTGGCCGCCTAGATGGCTCAGCTGGTGAAGGCACTTCACCAGGCTGGGCAACTTCAGTTTGAGTGGTGAGAGAAAGAGCTCCCACAGGTTGTCCTGATTCCACAAGAGGACCTACCTTCTAACCTCCCCAATAAATAAATAATAAATAAATGTAATAAAAATATCTTAAAGATAGTTCATCCTTTTTCATGGGGGGGGGGGCGGCAAACCTGTGACATACCTTTGTGTAAGGTGAGCATGTGAAGTAGGGAAGCCGCAGGCCTCAATCATCACCCCACAAGTGTATAGGGACTGGACCTAGCAGCGGCCACGAGGCGGTAGGAAGAGCTCAGATGCTGAACACATTCTAAAGTTGGGCTGCCAGGTCCTCATATACTGAACACAAGTGAGAAGAAAAGTCCAGTTGACTCGGGTCACTGGCCCAAATTCAGGGTGGGGCAATAGGCACACAGTCCATAAGTATTGTCAAAGACTAAATAAATAATAAAAGATCGCACTTCAGTACACACAAACTTGCTGATTGCTCTGTGGGTGGAGAACCCGGGCCTCAAAGTAGGGCAGACAGGGAAGGCCGTTGAACGCCACTTCTTTGCTGGATGAAGCAGGAGCTAACAGAGAAAGGGCTGACTGCAAAAGGCAGAGCAGCGAGTTGCGAAAGGATGAAGTGACAGTGGCCAGGATCTGTTCAAAGGAGAGCTAGCTGGCCAGCAAGACTGAAGCAGGGAGAGGTTGGCAAGAGCCAGTGACCTGGACATGGTGAAACTGTAGGGAAGGGAGCAAGCAGCTCTAGCCGTGAGCCATAGCCTTTAAAATCATTCTACGCTGAGACAGAACTGACACTTAAAAATATCCGATCACTGCAACCACTACCCCGAGGCAGCCTTGCACTGTGCCTCTTCCGGCCTGGGGGTGGACAGCTAGCTGACCCGGTCAGGGAGGCGGGCCGACCCCTCCCCACCGGACTTGCGCCCAGACTCTCTTTTGAGCTTTCTTAGCAGATGCGAGCCTCCTGGTGGCCAAGGAACTGATGCCCCGATCAAAACCTCTTTCTACGCCTGTGTTTCAGACTCCTACCCGGGTGCCACCTCCCCTTTAAGAACTTGCTGCGCCCTCGCGCCTCCTTTTTCTCGCGCGTAGTTCTTCTAGAACTATCCCGCCCCCTGGAGGCGCGTCTGCGTCATCGCGTTGCTGGGTCCTCGCGCCTGCGCTGTGGGACCACCCGGGCAAATGACGGAGACTGGCGGGGGCCTTGTCTGGGAGGGGCGGGACAAGGGCGGTCGCGTCGCACGTCACGTTGACTTCCGCTCCTGAGCCGCGGGCCTTCGTGAATCTATGCTGCTGCGCTCTGGGGCCTGTGACTGGCATCTCCCTCCACCGGAAAGGGTGGGCGAAGGGAGCTGCTGCATCCGGCGATCTGTGTCACAGCGGCCCCGGAACAGTGGGATTAGATTTTCTGAGGCGGAGGGTCAGGCAGCGACTGCGGCGCACCGAGGCCCGCGGGGACGGATCGGTCGCCCCTGCAGTGGTCCAGAGGCTATCACTAGCAGAGTGCCCTGTGCGGCCAGCGTGCGAAGGCCAGTTTGAGTATAATTTAGTGACATTTTCCCTTCAAGAGCCAGTACCGGCTTGGTTTCGACTCCCACACAGCTGACTGTAGACCGCCGGAGTTAGTGTCATCTTCAGAACCTTAACTATTACCGTCAAAGGGCTTGATGGCTTTCGGTGGCAATGAGCTGACTAGCCTCCTTCGCCTGGGGGACGTCCTACAGAGACACCCTAGGGCCCTTGCCATAGTCCCCACTACTTGTTGGGACCCAGTAAACTTTGTTGCTAAAACCCAAACTGTGAAGTACTGGATGTTAACCGTGCATCTCCGCGTCCCTCGTTTCTAGATATGGATCACAAACTTTCACAGTTGATAGAGGAGCTCACAACGTCAGGAGAAACCCAACTGAATGCTCAGAAAATGAAGGAACTGAAGAAAATTTGCAAGTATGTATTTAGGTTAAACGTGTATAATAACTGGTCCAGTGAGCACCCACACTGAACCCTTCTGTCTTCTTGTATGTCTCTGCCGCCTCCTGCCTTCACCATAGAAAGTGGTTTTCTAACCACTGGGGCATGGAAGCACTTGCCTGTTGGGAGGTGGAGGCAGGAGGGTCATGAGTTCTCGGCCAGGATTGGCTACATAGACCTTGTGTCAGAAACTGTGAAGAACCACAAAAAGAGTTGGGGGGCTGTAATCTCCAGTGCGCGTTAGTCCAGAATGTAGCACGGGTCTAAGCTTGACGCCTCTGATCATTTCTGTATGTTACAAAGCAATCATAGCAGTAAAATATAGCTCGAGGGATGGACTCAGGAGCCTCAAGCATGCTAGGCAAACTGTGTCACTGAGCTACCCCTGCCTCTACTCTCCCTTTCTTTTTCCTTTCATTTGAGACAGAGTCTTATGTAGCCTAGGTTGACCTCTTACAATGTAGCTAAGGCTGGCTGTGAACTTCTGATCTTCTGCCTCCACTTACCAGGTGTTCCAGTTGGGATCTTAGGCATGTGCAGTCAGAGTTCTCCCTGTTCCCCCNGCAAATTAGAGCACTTGTTAGGGCCTCACATTCTTTTTTTTTTTTTTTTTTTTCAGTTTTTCGAGACAGGGTTTCTCTGTAGCTTTGGAGCCTGTCCTGGCACTAGCTCTTGTAGACCAGGCTGGCCTCGAACTCACAGAGATCTGCCTGCCTCGGCCTCCCAAGTGCTGGGATTAAAGGCGTGTGCCACCACCGCCTGGCATACTCCCTGTTCTTAAGGTTGTTGTTCCCAACTGTATTAGATGAAAACACCTTGCCCTGCTTCCGAAGGCAGTCATATTTAGCGAGGAAGCACACTTCCTTCATTGCCTTGGTCACAAAAGGAGAAAACTTAAGTGATTATTTAGAAAGTGCTAGAATATTTACATTTCGATAAAGCTTCTAGTCCAGGCCTGGTTTTGCTGCACACCCCAGAAAAGCTGTTGTGTCTGATTTACACAGGGTGTCGGAGAGGGAAAGAGGACTGTGAGCATCTTTCTGTTTCCTGTAGAAGAGGCGGGGGCCATGCACCTGGGACTGTCCTGCTAACAATGAGCTTTAGAGGACACCTCTGGAGGGGTTCCAGGTTTGTCTGTCTCAGAACAAAGACTTGAACAGAGACATGTGGATAGTAGCAAGTAAAGCAGGAAAATTGGTTAAGAATGAATACTCTTCCAAGGAGGAAGCTGGCTAGAGACGGGAGAGAGTTGAGCATCTCAAATATCCCTGGAATACAAAGAGCTCTTGTGTTATCTTATTGTGAGCGTTCCCTGCTCTGTCTGTTGTATTTCTACATGCATTCCTTGTCTGTGGTGGTTTGAATGAGAATGGCTCATATATTTGAATGCTTGGTCTCCAGTTCATGAAATGGTTCTGGAAGGATTAGGAGGTGTGGCCTTGTTGGAGGAGGCGTGTCCCTGGGGTGGGCTTTGAGATTTTAAAAGCCCACACCATTCCCAGTTTTAGCTTTGTTTCTGCTGTTGTTTCATGTTGTCTCAAGATGGGAGCTCTCAGCTATTGTCCCAGCACTATGCCTGCCTGCCGCCATACTTCCCACCATGATGATCATGGACTCACCCTCTGTAACTGTAAGCCCCAGTAAGCTCTTTCTTCTGTAAGTTGCCCTGATTGTGATGTCTTATCATAACATTAGAAGAGTAACTAAGACAATGCCTCATTAGCATCTTAAATCCCCCGGGGGTGTGTTTTTAGTTTAGTAAGCTTTGTAGAAGATCTTTGGGGTCTCACTTTCCACCTGATATCTATGGTTTTAGGAATTCTTTGGGAAAGCAAGAAAGCTAAAGAATGGCAATCTGATGGCTGTTAAGATGGTAATGGTGAGTCCTCTGCAAGCCTGGCAGCCTGAACTTAATCCTTCCTCCCAAGAGGAGGTGGAAGGAGAGAACCCGCTCCACAGAGTTGTTGTCCTGCCGTCTCTACACATGTGTTGTGGAATGCGCACCCACTGCATGCTTCAAGAGTCAAACACACAACAATAATCTTTTAAGTTAAAAAAATGACATCTAAGCTTCCATAACTACTTCCATATCTCAGGGCATGTAAGAGGAACCACAAAGCTGTTATCTAGTGACTGGGGAGGAGAATTCAGATTCTCCAGCTTAGTCTGAAATTGCTGTATCTTAGATGACAAGAATTAGAAAACAAAAGACTTAAAAATCAATGCCCAAACAAGAGTAACAAGATTCCTACAGCCAATGGCCTTGAACTCATTTGCTTTCTGTTGCTGGGATAAACACCATGACCAAAAGTAACTTGGAGAGGAACTGTCTATTTCATCTTACATGTTATAGTCTGTTGGTTGGGGGGGGGGTCGCACAAAGATGGAGACAGACCACCAAAATCTAATAAACCAGAAGCAAACTTTATTCCAGAAACCAGATTCCAGTCTCTCTTAGCATCCCGTATTGTTGTCTAAGTTCTCTGGGATTGTGGTTTGATGGCTGGTTTTCTTTGCTTTATGTTTACAAACCACTTATGACTTGAGTACATGTGATAATTGTCTTTCTGTGTCTGAGTTACCTCACTCAAAATAATGTTTTCTAGCTCCATCCATTTTCCTGCAAAATTCAAGCTGTCATTATTTTTTCTGCTGTGTAGTATTCCATTGTGTAAATGTTCCATGTTTGGCATTTATATCTTTAATGAGCTCGTGTCTGAGCATTCTGTGGCTGGTGTAGCATACAGGTAATCTGGATATCCACAGTTATAGTTTAGCTGAAGAAGTAACCTATGGATGTAGAAAGGTTCATGACTTTTTGGTGAAGACCTCAGTGGTATGCTTGTTATTTGACCATGTTTTGGGCAATTGCAAAGGTTGGGACTGAAAACAATAGTTCCTTTGACTTTTGAGCATTCCCATCAACCCTGGTTATGCATGGGTTTATTTAGGAAGGAATCCTGGATTATTGCTTAAGGCTGTGTTTAGTTACTTTTCTATTGCTGTCATAAAAACATTATGATCAGAAGAAGCAACTTGCAGGGGGAAAGGGTTCATTTTGTCTTAAAACTCTCAGGTCACATTCCACACTGAGGGAAATCAGGGCAGGAACTTGAAGTAGAAAGGAGGAAGGAACTGAAGCAGAATTCGTTTAGGGGTGCTGCTTACTGGCTTGCTCAGCCTGCTTTCTTTACAGTTTAGGACTACCTGCCCAGGAGTGGGTCACCCCCAGTGGGCTAGGCCCTCCTATATCAATATTAATCAAGAAAATGCCCCCACATACTTGCCTTCAGGAAGTCTAATGGAGACGTTGTGGTTTTTTTTTCCAGATAACTCTAGCTTGTGTTAAGTTGACCAAAAAACAAACAAACAAACCCAATAATCAGGATATTCAGAGAACAAACCCCATATTTAACATTTCCCGCCACATTAATAATTTCCTGAGGCATCTTAGTAGTTTCTACTGTTAGAGGAGGTATGTCACTGGGACAGGCTTTGAGGCTCCAAAAGTCTCCTGCTATCTCCAAGCTCTCTATGCCTCCTGCCTGTGGTTTAAGGTGTGAGCCTTCAGCTATTGCTCCATCATTGTGGACCCTAGCCCTCTGAAACTCTAAGTCCAAATTAAACCCTTTCTTTTTTAAGTGACCTTTGTCATGGTGTCTTATCACAGCAATAGAGAAGTCGCTTAGACACAGAAACTTCTCTGGTTTTATCGTAGTTAACAGGTTTCTTAACTTTTCTTCCCTACAAGGAGGCTTTCAGTCACCAGCCTACACCTGTGGGTCCCTGCTAGGGTTGTATGATCCCAGTTAGTGGGTTCCTGATGTGGGAGGTGTTCACTCAGAATGCACAGCGGCGAGAGTTTGAGTAAATAATCTACTGGTATACTTCCTCTTTTTCTTCCTAGATCCTCTACTTTTTGTCAGGAGTACAAATAGTGAGGACCAAGTATAGACCCTTCCATCTTCTGACCAAACCTCTCACCCAGCCAGCCTATATTAAAACCAGAAGATGTTACAGTAAAATATTGGTCTCTTTTTCTTTAGGTTCTCATGATTAATATATTTCTTTGTCTGCATGTTTGAAATGTATTACTTTTCTATGTGTGCATGTGTGCACACATTAGTGCACATGTGCATTCAAACAGGTGCATGCAGGTATGACTGCACTCATGAAGAGGTCAGAGGATGACTTGGTGGAGTTGGTTCTCTCTGTCCACTTTTACGTGGGTTCTAGAGACCTAACTCTAGATCTCCAGACATACCCAGCAAGCACATCCACTTGTTAAGTAATTTTGACAAAATCAAACATAGTTTCAGTTCTTGAGGATACTTTGTAGCTGGGCAACCAAGGTAATAGAGGATGTATCTTAGGAGAGACAAGAAGCAGCCTCTGGGGGTAGAAAAATACCTGCCTTTGACTTGTATGTAGACTCCTCAAGAGACTCAAAGGATTCAGATGTTCCCCAGTCCATCCATCACACAGCATACTCGCTGGGATTCCAGGTGCAGGTGAGGCTCCAGCTTTTCTGTTTCTCATTCTTTTTTATTTTATTTTTTTTTGTTTTTGTTTTTCAAGACAAGTTTTCTCTGTAGTTTTGGAGCCTGTCCTGGAACTAGCTCTTGTAGACCAGGCTGGTCTCGAACTCACAGAGATCCGCCTGCCTCTGCCTCCCGAGTGCTGGGATTAAAGGCTGCGCCACCACCGCCCGGCTGTTTCTTAACTAGAGTTAGAACCAGCCAGTGTTGTCTCTTCAGGGATCGTGTGTAACTGGAGACTTCTCTCTGTCTCGCCTGCACCCACCGGACTGGTTTCTCTTCAGCTCACTGGTCCCGGCAACTGGTTATAATTGTTTGACTGGTGGTTTAGGCTATAACTGGCTACCTCTCACTTGTTAATTAACCCGTTTCTAATAGTCTGTATATCACCATGTGACCTTGTCATTATCTTAGGTGTGCTGGTGTCCTGCTCTATCAGCGACTCCCTGGCATTCCTCTTGACCCCACTTCTTTCTCTCTCCCTCTCTGCTTGGATTTTCTGCTTAGCTATATTCCATCCTGCCATAGGCCAGAGCAGGTTCTTCATCATTAGCCAATAGGAGGAATACATATTCACAGTGTACAGAAGGATATCCCACATCCCACATCAACCATGTCCTGCATTACCGGAATGCAAGTCCCTGCTACAAGCACAATTCTTCCTACTTTGATGGAAAAAGGCTTCTTCTGAGAGTCTCTAAAAAGTTCCAAAGCACTTGACTGTTCTTTCAGAGGGCCCGGGTTCGATTCCTAGCACCCACGTAGCAGCTCACAACTGTCTGTAACTGGGGACCATCAAGGTAGCCGTGTTTCAACAAAACTCGTTGACATTTATTTTTTTTTAATTATTTTATTTTATATGTATGGGTGTTTTGCCTGCATGTAGATTTGTGCACCATGTTCATGCCTACTACTCAGGGAGGCCTGAAGAGTGTATAGGATCTCCTAGAACTAGAGTTAGAGATTGTCGTAAGCCTCCATGTGACTGCTAGAAATCAAATCCAGGTCCTCTGGAAGAACATGTAGGGCTTTTAACCACTGTGCCGTCGCTGCAGCCTCTGACGTTTGATTCTTAATGTAATGTTCATATGTCAAAAAGTATTCTTTTGGGGCTGGAGAGATGGCTCAGAGGTTAAGAGCATTGCCTGCTCTTCCAAAGGTCCTGAGTTCAATTCCCAGCAACCACATGGTGGCTCACAGCCATCTGTAATGGGGTCTGGTGCCCTCTTCTGGCCTGCAGGCATACACACAGACAGAATATTGTATACACAATAAATAAATAAATAAAATATTTTTTTTTAAAGTATTCTTTTATGTGTTTCAACCACAGTGTATCTTTGCAATGCCGGAGGTCCAGCTGAGGACCTCACACGTGCTAGCCATATGCTTTGCCACTGGGCCACATCAACAATGGCTTTAGCTGTTTGAAAATGTACAGAGTTCTTGGTTCATGGGCAGTACAGAAACAGGACAGGAGTGGGCCACAGTTGGTGTTTAGACCCTGGTATGTCTTTTCAGCTTTAGAAGGGAAGAATAAAGATTGAGTGCTAAGCACAGTCCCTGCCACTTGTAACTGTAGTGTAACACAAAGAGTGATGCTTATTTGTCTTTCGTGAGTGAGCTTTTGGTTAGGCTGACTTGTGCCCTTAGGTCTTCCGAGGAGCAGTTGAGCCACGCCTACCACCTGCTGAAGACACAGCTGACCCAGGACCATGCTGAGATCCGCCTCTCTGCCTTCCAGATCGTGGATGAGCTCTTCACCAGGTCTCATCAGTTCCGGGTGCTGCTTGTTTCTGACTTCCAGGAATTCCTGGAGCTCACACTGGGCACAGATAATGAGCATCCCCTGCCACCCCCACGGGAGGCAGCTCAGAGGCTAAAGCAGGCAGCCATGCAGGCTGTGGAAGGTTGGAATGAGAAGTTTGGGGAGGCCTATAAGAAGCTAGCCTTGGGCTACCACTTCCTAAAACACATCAAAAAGGTAAGTGAGTCTTGGGCAGGACAGTCTGCTTTCCTGTGATAGACAAGACTGGCCAACCAATGAGGGAAAGAGCTCTTTGCATTGAGGGTTTTGCAGAGTGCCCAGCCCAGGGTAGACAAGACAGCTGGATCAGCATGCAATAGAATGGAGGATGCTCCCTAAAGGTCAGAACAGCCTTGGGGAAGAAAACTGCACCTAGCACCTGCCTGAGAGTAGAGCTAAGCCTGTAGAATCATACTCCTAGATGCCTCTGCTTTAGGATGGGCTCCCCTTTCTGGGACATACCCTATTCTTGCCAGTAAGCCATGCTTAGTTCTTGCCATGAGCTCTGACTGGTGCTGGGCTTAGTAAGACACCAGGTTCTGTTCTGCCTTCCACCCTCCTGTCACTGCCCAGATTCTGTCATGCCCCGTCAGCAGCACAAGCGAATGACTGGACCTTCCTGCATGGTTATGGTTCTTGTATGGGTGTCACCTACTCTCTGGAGTGTAAGCATAGACTGCTCTTATGTTTCCCGACTGCTCAGACCCGAATAATCACACAGAAACTATGTTAATTACAACACTGCTTGGACAATAGCTTAGATGTATTCCTAGCTAGCTAAATTAACCCATTTCTATTATTCTGTGTATTGCCACGAGGCTGCGGCTTACTGGGTAAGGTTCCAGCATCTGTCTCCTTTGGCAGCTGTAAGGCGTCCATTGACTCCACCTACTCTCTCCATAAATCTCTCTTCGGACTTCCTGCCTGCCTGACTTTGCTTTGCTAAGCCATTGGCCAAAACAGCTTTATTCTTCAACCAATAAAAGCAACACATATACAGAAGGACATCCCACATCATTGGAGTTCACTACTGGGTGGTGTGTATGTCCTGGGCCTAGCTGATAACCCCTGGCCTGCCGTTAGAGGAGCATTCTGCTTCCCAACAGTGTTGAACTTGGCATTGGATGTGGAAGATGTAGCAGGATGAGGCAGCCTTGTTTGAAATGTTGTAGATTAGGAACCATCAAGTTGTGGCCTTGTGTTGATGGCACTATGTCTTTTTGTACTTTGTGTTTGTGTTTGTTGTAGGTAATCCTAAACTTCCTTTTCGATTTCTCAGGTGGATTTTCGGGATGTCAATGCTAGGTCTTTGGCAGAAAGGAAGCGAGAAGAGGAGAAACAGAAGCACTTGGATAAAATCCACAAAGAAAGTGCTGAACGGGCTAAGAGAGAAATGGAAGGTAAGTTCCTAGGCTAAGCCCTTGAAACTGCCCCCTGTGGTCCCTTGTGCTTGTTCCCTAGTTGTTCTTTAATCTAGCCTGAGACCATGCAGGCAGGTTTGCAAGACAAAATGGTTTAGGATGGTGTTGAACCGTCACAGGCTGCCTGTAGTGCATGTGTCTCCTGGTGATTTGGTCTTCCTGTAACTATTTAGCGTAAGACTCTCTGAACAGAGGAGCTGGACGTAGCTGTGACTTCAGGAAGGAGTCCACACTCTGTAGAGGCCTTCTTGCTATTTCTTCTCATGTCCAGCATCTGTTCTTGCAAGTTCCGTTCCCCAGATCCTCATCCTTCCTGGGAGTCAGCCTGTTCTCGAGAGCAGGTCTTAGGTTCTTTCTAAGACCTCTCACATACACCTGTCCTGTGAAAACCCAGGGCTTGGGGAAGGCTATGGGGAGACAGCTGTGCCGTGAATGGCCTAGAGGTCTCCAAGAGGGGGCACCCGGTAAAGTGTGTAGTGGTGATGACCTCTCTGGGACCACCATTCTGAGTGGAAGGCTGGCCCGTGGGAGTGGTCACATAGGCTCCTGTGAACTGCCACACAACCGTGATCAGAGGTGTGCTCCAGAGACTGAGCTGTTTGCACTAATAGTTTAATAAATGGTTGGAAGTGTTCTGATTTCTGTACCAGCGCATTGGCTTTCCTTGGTGGCACTGTGATCTTCACTTTGGTGCCCTGGGGAGCAGTTATAGGCATCTGTTGCTCTCTGGCTCGAGATGACAGAGTAAGCAAGTGTTTCCATGTCTGCAGAAATGTCTGATGAAATTGGATACAGCCTGACAGAAGTGGAGAACTGCTTTAAACTGCTCGTGCCCTTGGACTTTGGCCCATACCCAGAGGATAAATTCTTTGCTGAGGCATCTGGCATAACAGAGGGCCATGTTCCTTGTGTCTTGAGCCCAGACCTGGCAACTTCTCGTGAGTCTGGTCTCCCTTTATCTCAGAATGAAGAGCAGCCATGCTGTAGCAAGGACCTGGTTGACTCTGCATACCATGTAGGATCTGCTGTTGGTCTGAAGGCACTGACCCTAACAGCCACACAAGACCCCTCCAGGGATGAGGATGAGCACTGTGACCCGGAGGAGTTCCTGAGGAGCCATGGGCTAGGATCGCACAAGTACACTCTGGATGTGGAACTCCCCTCAGGTAACTGACTGCTGGGGCTGTGCAGTGCCTCCATGCACTGCTGCCCTGGCCTAGCAAGGTTTGCAGCTCCCTCACTGGCACTGGGTTGTCTCAAGGTAGAACTGCAGTTCCTTGGGTTGGGCTATGAGGGATAGAGGGACCTCCATTTGGTTAGTCTTTCCTGTGTAACTCTTCTCTGAGTTTCTGCCACCATGGAATTCTCAGTCATTATAGCCCTATACTAATAAGGTTATGAGCAGGGATACAGACTCCATGGCAGATGTATGGGCATCTACCTGAAGGTCCACCAGGGGCACCTTCCTAGGAGGAAAATGTGATTAAAGTATGATTTCTTGCTGTGTTTACAATGGTAAGGGATGTGGCAGAGTTGTACCTGGCCCTAGCATTCCAGCCATGGGGGCACAGAGGGCTTACTTGTCCATCTCTTGATCTTGGTTGGACCACAGGTGCCACCTGTTCACCTTGTGGGATATTGTTGGGAGGGACTGGTGCTCTTCAGGATCCACAGCTCCAAGTTGATATCGCTGATGTGCTGCACCTTGCCTTGGAAGCATACAAGTGCTAGTGAGGTCCTTTCTGAAGGCCTGCCTAGCGGGCGTTGTGAAGGAAATGAAGACCCTGTCAAGAAAAGGCAGAATGGCAGGGGTCACTGAGACCCTGGGACCAAGAGGTGGAGGCAGTCCTGAGAGAAGAGGAAAGAGAAGGTGACTGAGCAGTCTAGCCCTCTGGATGGGAAGCCAGGGCTGGAGCAGTGGAGCTGTGTGAAGGGCAGCCTCAGTGCAGAGCCAGAATGGTTGATACTGTCCCAGAGTTTTTCCACACGGTATGTTTCTCTCTCAGAGTTGACCAGTGTCTGGGACATGCTTGGAGTCACATTTCCAGTGGGTTTCATAGCTTCTGCTACATGACTGGCCTTAGCATCCCTCTGTGACTTGCTTTGCCTTGTTTTAGATGGTCTGAAGGTGCAAGAGAATGAAGACAACCTTGCTGTTCTCCATGCTGCTAGAGATTCGCTCAAACTCATCCAGAACAAGTTTCTGCCAACTGTGTGCTCCTGGGTCCAGGTGAGGCTCAGTACCTGGTCTTCTGCAGTGAACTTGGGTTCCAAGACCAGGCAAAGCAAGGATGTGGAAGGCGGGAACACTCACCTGGGTGGGGAATGAGCATTTCCCCTCTCCCTAGAACTTTGTCCTTTTCTAGAAGAAGGGGCTAGGCCATGGGTCTCCTGGCCAGACTAGGCTCTCTGGGGATGGGCTGGGAACTTTGCGAGTCATGCTTTGTTTTACAGCGGTTTACCCGTGCAGGGATCTACAGCGAACACTTAAAGCAGGCCATAGACCTGAAAATGAAATTGGAGCTTGCTCTGAAGAAGTGTGAGGAACTGAGCATCAAGCCTGAGAGAGAGCCGAGGAGTGGGGTGAGTTCACGGAGCCGAGGAGTAGGGTGAGTTCACGCAGCTGAGGCTGAGAGGTCCCAGGAGTCTGCACTCAGCCATTTGAGCGGGCAGGCATCACCAGCTTCAGAAGATTCTGGGCTTTTCCTTACTGAGTTCTTATGGTGGGAGTCCCAGATAAGTCTCTGTGGAGTAAGTTCATGGTGGCTGCATTCCTGTTGTTAGGGTCTGTTCACCCTGTGTTATAGCCAACGATACTTACAAAGTACTGAAAATCCATGCTTCAAGGGCTCCTCCTGAGAGCCCGAAGAACTAGGCCATGCCCTGGCTCAGTGTTTGTTAAGTGGGGCCTTCTGTGGAGTTGCTATCTAATAGCGAATCCTGTCTCTGGGCAGGCAGACAGAATGAAACCCTCAGAATGCTCTGGTGTAGTCAGGTGACCATGGCTACTGTGCCCTTTGGGATGGGGACCTGAAGGCCACCTGTTTGTTGGATTGCATGTGGCCTCAAACTTGGATAGGCTAGGTTGTTTGTGGGCAAAAACAGGGTATTTTTGAGATTCGGGGGGCTGACAAGGTGCTGTATCTCCCTGAGTGAGGATCTGGTGTTGAAATAGAGCAGGGGAGCTGGGCGGTGGTGGTGCACGCCTTTAATCCCAGCACTCGGGAGGCAGAGGCAGGAGGATCTCTGTGAGTTCGAGGCCAGCCTGGTCTACAAGAGCTAGTTCCAGGACAGGAACCCAAAATCTATGGAGAAACCCTGTCTCGAAAAATCAAAAAAAAAAAAAAAAAAAAAAGAAATAGAACAGGGGTACATGGTTTCTCTGGATGGGACCAGAGAGATGGGAGTCCCAGACAGGGCCAGAGAGAGGTGTGGGTCGTGTGTTCAGGGTGCCTGGTAGTGGGTAAGGATTCAGTCCTGTAGTGGCTTAGGAGCCACAGAGGCCATCCATGCCAGGCACACTGGCAGTGTTGCTGTGCCTGGAAGAGGTGCTGCCCTTGGAGTGGGAATGGAGATCCTGGGCCTGAGGGCTGCATGGACCTGGGGTTCTTCACAAGTCACCACAGAGTGGGGAGACAGCTGCTGCACTTGGGTAGATGGGTCCTGAGATTTTGGTTGGAAGACAGAAAACTGTCACAGTCCAAACTCTCTCTGTCACTTGTTCTCCCAGCTCCCAGAGGACGGTCATCACCAATGAAAACGGTTTACGTTTATCTGTGGCAGTCAGGTCTCTCCTTGTAGCATGTAGGTCCACAGACAAGAGCCAGGTCCTTGGCAAGTGCCTTTCCCTGGCTGGAACATCTCACTGACTCTTCCCAACTGGTTTCCAAACAGAGAAAATAGACGTTAGAGCTGCCCCATCCCCATGGAATTGTTTGAAACCTTGACCCTTAATCTGGTCTCTGAACATAGCCTTAGAGCAGTGGTTCTCAACCTGTGGGTCACAACCCTTTCACAGGGTCAGATATCCTGCATATCAGATGTTTACATTACGATTCATAACAGCAGCAAAATTATAGCTATGAAGTAGTAACAAAATAATTTTATGGTTGGGGGTCAGCACAATATGAGGAAGTGTATTGAAGGGTCGCAGCATTAGGAAGGTTGAGAACCACTGCCTTAGAGGTTAGCTAACCTGGTCAGTCTGACTTGTAAATTCTGTTTTGGAAGCTGCCGGCTGGTCCCAGCTTTGCAGAAGGTATGTGTGATGTGGGCCAGCAGAGGGCGACCTTGCTTCTCCTTCAGCCGGCCAGCCGTTGCGATCATGCAGCTTTGGTTTGTGGGTTACCATCTCGTGAGAGTTGCATTTGGTTGTGTCACTTAACAAGTCAGATTTATGAATCTTGAGCAATGTATGTCTACAGCAGAGAGCGTTTCTCCAGCCCTCACTGTAGCAGTCAGGAGGCGTTCATCTCTACACTCAGTGTCCAAAGTCTCAGGCTCCAGGCTTGGCCAAGACTGCAAAGTGGAAGGCCACCTCACTGTTCTGCTGTGTACCCCAGTCCCTCCTTGAAGATCTCAGTCAAGCCAATTACTACACTATGTGGACAGTCACCTTGCTGATGGGCCTTGGCAGTGCAGGGACATCCTTGGGTAGCTGGTGTTCCAGGGACTGGCCATAGAACTTTGAATGCTCTTGGGTGGCACAGAAGGGGTTTTCAAGGGCCTAAGTATTACTAGCTTGCACTACCTTACTGGGACCAGCAGCAGTGCTGGGGCTGGCAGGACTCTAAGCCCTGAGGGTCTTAGCAGTGTGGCTGTTCTCCTTGGCCTGAAGCTTTGTCGGGTTGACAGAACTAGGTGTTGTTGGGCACTGTTGTCTTAGCCATGTCTCTTGGCTCCATATTTCCAGAGTGCTGAGTGACCGACTGCTGGAGGAGACCTGGGCAGTCTTCCTCTGGCCTACAGGACACTCTTTTTATTATTTATTTAAGATTTCTGTCTCTTCCCCGCCACCGCCTCCCATATCCCTCCTCTCCCCCAATCAACTCCCCCTCTCTCGTCAGCCCGAAGAGCAGACCCCAGTTCCCTGCCCTGTGGGGAGTCCAAGGACCTCCCACCTCCTTCCAGGTCTAGTAAGGTGAACATCCAAACAGCCTAGGCTCCCACAAAGCCAGTACGTGCAGTAGGATCAAAACCCATTGCCATTGTTCTTGAGGTCTCAGTAGTCCTCATTGTCTGCTATGTTCAGCGAGTCCGGTTTTATCCCAGGCTTTCTCAGACCCAGGCCAGCTGGCCTTGGTGAGTTCCCGATAGAACATCCCCATTGTCTCAGTGTGTGGGTGCACCCCTCGCGGTCCTGAGTTCCTTGCTCATGCTCTCTCTCCTTCTGCTCCTGATTTGAACCTTGGGGTTGTAGTCCGGTGCTCCAGTGTGGGACTCTGTCTCTATCTCCTTTCATCGCCTGATGAAGGTTAATATTCAGGAGGATGCCTATATGTTTTTCTTTGGGTTCATCTTCTTATTTAGCTTCTCTAGGATCACGAATTATAGGCTCAATGTCCTTTATTTATGGCTAGAAACCAAATATGAGTGAGTACATCCTATGTTCCTCTTTTTGGGTCTGGCTTACCTCACTCAGGATAGTGTTTTCTATTTCTGTCCATTTGCATGCAAAATTCAAGAAGTCATTGTTTTTTACTGCTGAGTAGTACTCTAATATGTATATATTCCATACTTTCTTCATCCACAGGACACTCTTGATACCTTTGTGGGTAGTGAAGACATGCAGCCTCCTGGGTCAGAGCGCTATATTTAGTTCAGCCAGCAGTGGGTGCTGCAACTTCCATCCGCAGAGCCCAGGCAGGAAGCACCATTCTTCCTATGTGGCTTGTACCCATGTCTCTGTTACCTGAAGAGTAATGGCCATGCCCTCAACACAACTCAGTGGAAGCTGGGCCTGGTGGTGAAACTGTGTGGTCCAAATTACTTGAAAGGCTGAGGCAGGAGGATCATAACTTTAAGACCAGCTTGGGCTACAGAGTGATTTATAGGGCTGCCTAGGCAACTTAGTGAGCCCTTGTTTCAAAATAGAAAAAGACCTGGGGATTTAACTCAGTGGTAGCATGCTGCCTAGCATGTTTGGGGCTCTAGGCTCAATCCCTGGTACTACACCAAGAAAGACTGAGTGCCTTGCCCTGACTCCCGCTAGCTGTCCTAAACCATCTGCTGTCCTAGCTTCCTGTTGTAGATCTGCCTTTGGTGTAAGGGGACGTGGGCCCCAGGAGTCTGAGATCCAGCACTTTAACATTGCAAGGACGGTCTTCCTGTGGTACATGATGGCCAGTCTTGGGTTGATGTGACGCCCAGGGCCTGTACTGTTTCCACTATCCCTTGTACCCAGTGACTCCTAACCTGATCTTACCCAGATTAGTACATGTATCCTTGTGCATCTCAGCAGGCAGACGGTGACCGTCACAGCTGAAGCCTATACTTTCACCTATAGGCTCTGTTGTGAAGACAGGCCCTTCATGATGTTTTGTGAGGGTCCTCTGACTCCTCTGGTCACACAGGTCAGCACACTAACCTAGACCGTCTGTGGGTTCGTCGGGCTGCCTGGGCCCAGTGAGGTGGCAGCCCGTGGACTGAGGGTGCCCTATCTTCAGAGGGAAGGTAGTGCTGTGTTCTGCTCTCAGTTAATGGACACTTCCTAGACCTGTCTCTGCAAACTGATTTTAACGAAAGGCACTGCTCTGAAATCCTTGGAGATTTCGCTTGCCGCAGCTGGAGAGCGAGTGAGGCGCTGCTTGTAGATGAAGTGATTGGCGGCTCCCGGACTGTGAGTGGCAGCGCCCAGGCTCAGGTGAGCACTGCTTCCCAGAATAGATACAGCAACTGCCTATCTACACATCGCCCGCCCTTCCTGCAGCTGGTGGGCAGCTCCTTGCAAGGCTGCTGCACCACAGTGTCTTGTGGGGGAGGGGCAGGGAGAGAGGGCTAATGAATGTCTATGTTAATTAGAGCTGTTTTAATTAGAAATCATGATGAGGTGTTCACTAATTTCCAAATAAAATTTACGGAGGGTTTAAATCATTTCCTAGTGTTTCCCCATTTAGCACGGGATTGGCATCGTTAACTCCTCATGTAGAACAGGCTGAGCAGGGAACACTAATTCAATAATGCATGATTTAAACATTTAAGAACTTCTAACAAATGTGTGAGATTGAAACAAATACAGTGCTACTGGTCATAAACAGCAGCCCAGATTTGGACAGGTCCAGGCTGTCTTTGGAAGGCTGGGTTGATGCAGGCTGTGCGGGGTAGTCCCCTTTCCTCCCAGGCATCTGTGGAGCCCAGCCCCAGTTCCCATTTGAATGTTGCCATTGGTTTCTGCACAGTATTGCTTTCCTTTTGACATAGATGGTCTATCTTCAAAAATACTTAAACCAGTTTAAACATGTCTAAGCATTTGCTTTACAGAGTATGTGCTCTTGAGCTCAGTTTGGTGGCAGACTGGGGATAAATCTTGACCCGATCAATGTGGAGGGCCATTTGGTGGAGTCAGTTTCCACCTGCTCTGTTAC